TCATGGATTAGAAAGACTGAATATTCTCAAATTAGCTACAATCTTCAAATTGATCTAATTGAATACAACCTCTATCAAAATGCAAGTTGCCTTTTTTATCCTTCAAGAATTGACAAGCTAATCTTAAAGTTTATTAGGAAACAGAAGCAGCCTTGAAGAGAAAATGAATAGTGTCTACAAACTACCTGCATCATCACCGCCTTGAGTTATTTGTTTAAAAATCTAGGAGTAATAGTTAACTCTTTTTAAGATTTTTCAGTGGGGTATTTTGTATAGTCATAAAACAGAGCACAAGTTATTTGGGCTTGTGAGATAGTAAGTAGTATTAACTAGAAGACAGCCTCAGTGAGGAAGGAAGAAAGAAAGAAAGAAACACACCCCAGGGGTAATATTCTATGGAAGATAATAATCCATTATGCTCTCCGGGATGAGTCAGCACTGAAAGATACTTCCAGAAAACCACCCAGCCAGCCAAACAAAGAAAATCTGAACTTGATCAATGGGATATCAAATACAGGTCACATAATTTTGGAAATTTATGTTGAGATGGTGGTTGTTTTTCTACCACCGTTAGTCACAGAACCAATTATCCCTTGAACCCATGATAAAGTCAAATCATCACTATAACAGAGACTGCTTACTTTCCAATTTGCAGTGTATCATATTCATCTAAGCTATGGAAAATAGTACAAACTATTAAATCATCCATTTTTCTATTTGACAAGCTATGAAGCACATACGAAGTAGGTAAGTACACTAGATAGAGTTAGGATGAGAACTCGGGTATTTTAGAGTCTGAATGTACAATTACTTTTAAGAGATTCATTGCTTCTTTAATGGTCTATAACATACATACAAACGTTGTACGTATCATGTAACTGTTTTCATATTTTATGTCTGATCTATAACTAAAACGTTAGCAGCAATGCCTGCGAATAAATGTATATTTCATTAACAGTTATTCTGCTTGAAGATTATAAAAACCTTTTGATAGTTTATTTAAATGGCTTAAATCTCTTAAAAACAGATATTAATAAAAATTTGAAGTGATGTCATCTTTTTCCTCTCCAAAACATCTCTATTTCAAAAAGAATAATTCTCTTTAAAAAAGAGAATTATAATTTCATAGCATTTATAGCTATTTCTGAGAACTAAGCTTTTAGAGAAAGAAATTCTTGATTTAAAAAAAAAATTTGTCTTATGTCCCCAAAATAGAACCTAAAAGAATGTACACAGTTAAGTTTAAACATAAAGCTATTAAAGCTATTATTGGTTTTGACAATACTATAATTTTCATATTTGTTTTTATATCTTCCATTGCAGATTTACTTAAGACTGCCTCTTTATGTGCCCAGTTCTTCATCAATAGAGATCACTTAGGTCCCCTAGAGTCTATGGTTCCAGAAATATTATGTAGTTACTTCAGCTGAATAAAGAAAAGAATCATATTGCAAGGTATCTACTATCTTTCCCCTTTTTTTTCTGTAAAATAATGTGCTCTTTTCTGAAGAAAAATGATAAAGAAAATAATATTTAAAAATTGATAATTTAAGATTATAATCTTCTCAGACCTCTGCTCACTAAACCAAGTGTGCCAGTATGGGATTTGGGCTCTAAGCAAACACCAGTGTGTTTTCATCTACACAGTGAACAGAAAATAAAACACATTAGAGACACCCTCCGCTCTGCTCTTGGAAGAAAGGACACTATACTTTTTTCCAAGGACATCTTAAAAAGCTTTCCTTTGTGAATTAGTGATGAAATGACCCTATGCTCAACATACCTTTGAAAATAAACCAGTGTAATTATTAAAAGTTTAATAACAAATGAAGAGGGATTTGAAATTACTAGTTTAGACTCAAGTCACAAAATATGCCTTACTTAAGATTCCTTTTTATATTTAAGACCTAATACACAGACATTTTATAGAACATAGATACACTGAAATATACTTGAGATAAAAAAATAAAGTATCATAGCTAAGTCACTGTATTGGATCCCCAATGGGTAAGCATCTGTCTCAATTATCTTTCTGTTATTTAGTATGAGAAAAGCACAAGTAGATGGAGATCAGATATGATCATGCAAAATTTGGCTTAGACATAATGTATACTTATCAAGCAGACTTTGTCTTAACACAAAATCAAATTCTAAACCACTGGAAAATCCAGTTCCTCCAAAATGAACATGATTTGTGATGGTCAGTCTCAGATAAATGTAATGAGAGCACCCTTGTCCCCCAGCAGAAGGCTGAAGTCTTGCTGCGTACCTGTGTGCTGTGGCTGTGAGCAGCGTACGTGGTACTGTAAAGGCAGCTCTGCACTTTCTTAGAGGCTTATGTTAGGAAAATAAACGTGTAGTTGTTGTTATGCCTTTCCATTTCTTTTTCTCCCCCTGCCTTTCCTCCTTATATAAAGTTCCAACTCTAGCAGTTTGTCTAGCTAAGCGAATTTCTAGAAAGGCATAACCCAATGTGTTTGCCTTCTAAGGCAAACTGACACCTACCCAGTCATTTCAGAGTATCAAAGAACATTGTCCCTGCTTTGTAATTTTCCTCAGGACTCAAACTGCACAAGAACCTACCAAAAAACTAAGAAGAAACAAGAGAATCAGAGACGAAATAAAGCTTCCTTTTTGCTAGGTTTTTTTTTTTTTTTTTTTTTTTTTTTTTTCTCCCCATTTTTTTCAG